TCTTCTCTCTCTCTCTCTCTCTCTCTCTCTCTTCTTCTCGTCTCTCTCTCTCTTCTCTTCTCTCTGTCTTTTCCTCTTTTGCTGTTGTCCGTTCCTTCCATCTATGTCTTCTCCCTTCTCGCAAGGTCGTTTCAGCTGTTTTCTTGCTCTCTCTTTTCTCGTTATATTTTTTCTTATTATTCTCTCTGTCTGTGTCTGTGTCTCTCGTTATTCTGTCTCTTTTGTCTGCCTGTCTGTATCGGTGTCTGTCTGTCTGTCTCTCTCTGTATATATATATATATATATATATATATATATATATATATATATATATATATATTATATATATGTGAGTGAGTGAGTGAGTGAGTGAGTGTGTGTGAGTGTGTGAGAGTGTTGTGAGTGTGTGTGAGTGTGAGTGTGTGTGAGTGTGTGTGAGTGAGTGAGTGTGAGTGAGTGTGAGTGTGTGTGAGTGTGTGTGAGTAGTGTGAGTGATTGTGAGTGTGGTGTGTGTGTGTGTGTGTGTGTGTGTGTGTGTGTGTGTGTGTGTGTGTGTGTGTGTGTGTGTGTGTGTGTGGTGTGTGTGTGTGTGTGTGAGTGTGTGAGTGTGTGAGTGGAGTGTGAGTGTGAGTGTGAGGTGAGTGGTGGAGTGTGAGTGTGAGTGTGAGTGTGAGTGTGAGTGTGAGTGTGAGTGTGAGTGTGTGTAGTGTGATGTGAGTGTGAGTGTGAGTGTGAGTGTGAGTGTGTGTGTGTGTGTGTGGTGTGTGTGTGTGTGTGTGTGTGTGTGTGTGTTGTGTGTGTGGGTGTTTGTGGTGTGTGTTGTGTGTGTGTGAGTGTGTGTGTGTGTGAGTGTGAGAGAGAATCCCTCTATGTCTGTCTGTTTCTCGCTCTACGTATTTTCTGCGCATTTTTCTTTTTCCGCCGTTCGTTTCGCCTGCCCTCGCCCACCTCCCAGCTCCCTTGAACATTTAGGCCTAGAATTCGGTGGCGTATGTGCGCAGGAAAGAAATTTGTTTGCGGAAAAAACACCCAACTAAGGGGCAAAGGGAGGAGGGGAAAAAATCTTCCTCATCTTAATTTCGGATGCAATTTAACTCCTTGTTTGTTTCCGAGATCCTTTCGTGACTTAGGCAGCGGACGAGAGGAAATTTCGAGAATGCGTAGGCGCTGGCGAGTCCGCTGCGTAGGTAGGCGGCTCGCGTAGGTCCTATAGGAAAGGGACGGCGGTTGTGTGTGGGGGGGGGGCGGGCTGGAGGAAGGGGGGCAGGGGGGGATGGTGAGTGACGGCTAGGCTATTACGCAGTTCTCCTTCGCTGCCTCCTACTCCTCTCCTCCTCCTTCCTCCTATTTGGTCCCCGGTTTCCCGAATGGATTGCTCGTTTGGTTTCCCGCCATTTTTTTTTGAGGGGGGGAGGGGAGAAATCCGTTTTTTTTTTTTTGTTTCTCCGTACGTTTTTGGTTTTCCTTTTTTCATTTGTCTTGGGTGTTCTATGTCGTCGTTGGGCCTCTCGCCGGTGAGGGGTGGGAATCTGGAAGTGTTAACGGAAAATGTAGCTGTTGGCAACTCGGATCTAGTGTTGCCGTCTCTTGTAAATATGCGAAGTAATTTTGACTGTAAGAGTGTAGTATCTTTGAATTTATTAGCGGTAGTAAATTTAGAGGATTTACTCTGGTTATTTGAATTGATGTTTTGTTTTGAGAATGCTTGTAGGCGTGCATTACGTGTGCGTGCTTGCATGTGCGTGCGACGTGCCTGTGTTTGGGTTTATGAACGCTCCTGTACCACAATGTAACCATTAATGTATGTACAGTTAAAATGGCGGTTGATTGCGGTTTTGGTGTCGCATTCTTTTCACCCGCTTAGGCCTATCGCTCTGTTTTCGTCGACGGCTGTTCTCAGGGTGGGAATAATGAAATGCCTTAATATATCCCATTCGTAAAGCCCGATAACGCCGCCAGAGATAAGAAGATACTGCACGGTTCAGGTGGAACGGACTGCCTTGTCGCGGCGCTTCCACGTCGTACATTAACAGGCGCACATTCCGGCTCGTCTTTCGCAGCCAGAAAGCGCACCAGCCAAGCTGCCCATACGGAAGGGCCCGCCATCACGCGTTTTCGCCCCGACATAACGCAGAACGGAGCGGGCGAGGCGCAGTTTGTTGTGGCTGCGCGGCCTGTGACGTGTTTGTGGGTCAGAGCCATTGATCTGGCGTGGCAGCTCTGGCGGGGCGCGGGAGGCGTCGTCGCACACCTGGCAGCGCCGTCCGTCCGCTCACACACCCACGCTCGTAACGTGTCACCGAACGATTTACAATCCATCTTTCATTCATAAAAAGTGATGTACACTTCTTTCGGGCGCGAGGTTATATGGGGTCGGGGCCAAGGGTAGGGGGTGGGGGTGTTTGAGTGGAGTTTTGGGCGGCGTTTGACGGAGTCTGCCACACGCCGGGCAGACAGACCCGAATAAAACAATATTTTTTATCCGTTAAAATTTGTGTACAAGCTGCTCGCCCCGGTCTTGCGTTCGCGGGGTGCAGACGGGAGGGACATCGTGCACCGATTGCGCCCGTGCATTGCTCGATGCAGCGGGGCCCGGGTGTGCATTGGGCGCAGAACTTTAAAGCAGACTCTTTTATTATCGTCTGCAAATCTCCGTCGTATTATGCACGACTGGGCTGCGGGTTAATTGTTCAATAAATTCGTCGCCGTCGGGGAGATTGTAGTTATTTGGGAGCCACGTGTACGATGTAGATTTTTTTTTTAACGGTTGATTCTCTTGTATGCTTATTGTTTAACTTCCGTTCTCCTCCCTCCTGTTCATTCTCGGACGGTCACTTTGCCGCCTTTCTGACCCGAGATAAATCGGTTGATTTATTTTACTCTCTCTCTCTCTCTCTCTCTCTCTCTCTCTCTCTCTCTCTCTCTCTCTCTCTCTCTCTCCTCTCTCTCTCTTCTCTCTCTCTCTCTCTCTCTCTCTCTCTCTCATTCTCTCTCTCTCATTCTCTCTCTCTCATTATCTCTCTCTCATTCTCTCTCTCTCTCTCTCTCTCTCTCTCTCTCTCTCTCCTCTCTCTCTCTCTCTCTCTTCTCTCTCTCTCTCTCTCTCTCTCTCTCTCTCTCTCTCTCTCCTCTCTCTCTCTCCCCCTCTCCCTCTCTCCCTCTCTCTCCTCCCCCCCCTCTCTCTCTCTCCCCCCTCCTCTCTCTCCCCCCCTCCTCTCTCTCTCTTCCCCTCCTCCTCTCTCTCTCTTCCCCTCCTCTCTTCTCTTTCCCCTCTCCTCTCTTTCTCTCCCCCCTCCTCTCTCTCTCTCTCCCCCCTTCTCTCTCTCTCCCCCCTCTCTCTCTCTCCTCCCCTCCTCTGTCCTCTCCTCTCCCGTCCCCTCTTCTCTTACATCCTCCCCTCCCTTCTCATACCTCCTCTCTTCCCCTCTTCTCTCCCGTTCTCTTTCCCCTCGGTGCCATCCCCGCAGTCCTCCGTCCATGCATCCCCACACAGGTCCCCTCCCCCCACCCTCTGGGCCTCCCTCTCTCCCCGGGACATCGTCTATGGGTCGGACCCCCCCCCCTCCCATGTGCCGTACCTGTTCTGTTCTGTTCGTAGAACTGCCGCCGCCGCCGCCACCTCCGCCGACTTAAGCTGCTGGGGTGTTGTACTGTATGCGCTGAGGGCGGGATGGGATAGGGGAGGAGGAGGAGGAGGAAGAGTAGGAGCAGTAGGAGGAGGAGGAGGAGGAGGAGAAGGAGGAGTAGTACACGTGCTGCGTCTGGAGTTCCCTCTCTCGGAGGTCTTTTGTAATCGCGGTCGTAGTACGGCGCGGAGGGGGGTAGGGGTGGGGTGGGGAGGGTGGGGGTTGTAGCAGCGTGGGCCCGTCGGATGTTGTGTGTGTTGCATGATGGTAGGAATTATGTCGTTTGGCGTTTGTTGTGGGGCGTAATTGTTGTTATTGGCTAAACGGGGGGGGGCACGAACGACGCGCGCTCTCTCGTGTGTGTGTGGGGGGGGGGTGAGTGGGGGTGTGTCTTCGTTGTTGTTTCTGTGTCCTTTTCTGTTTTGTTCTTGACTCTCGTCCCTGCCTTTGCTCTCTCTCGCCTTGTCTGCTCTTTTCTTCGGCGTATCATAATGATGATGATAATGATAATGATAATGATAATGAAAATGATAATACTGATGATGATGATGATGACGACTCATGATGATGAGAATGACGACTGACGACTGACAATGGCAATGACGATGTCAATGACAATGATGACAATGACAGTGATGCCAATGACAGTGATGACAATGACAGTGATGACAATGACAGTGATGACGATGACAGTGAAAATAATAAAGACACCGACGTCTCAAGACTCAAGACGGAAACGAAGGGGGCGCTGAGGGTTGCCGACGTTTCAGGGAAAGGGAGGGAGCCCATGGCGGGATTTTGAAGATTTTCCTGCGTTATTTTTTTTCCAAGTGGTTTTAGTTTTCTGGCGGTTGAACGGAGGGACTTTTTTTTTAAAGGTGTGGAATGAGTGTCTGGGTTGTTTCTGTTTCGTAGATTTTCCTTTTTTCTTCTTCATTTTTGTTTATCATTATTGTTGTGATTGTAATTATTATTGTCATTATTTTTGTTGTTATTATTATTGTTATTTTTGTTGTTGTAATTATTATTGTTATTATTTTTGTTGTAATTATTATTATTATTATTATTATTATTATTATTATTATTATTATTATTATTATTATTATTATTATTATTTTATTTTATTATTATTATTGTTATTTTTTTTTGTGATTATTATTATCATCATTATTTTATTATTATTATCACTATCATTATGATCATTATTATTATTACTATTATTATTATTATTATTACTATTATTATTATTATTATTACTATTATTATTATTATTATTATTACTATTATTATTTCTATTTGATAACGATGGTGATACTAATAAGGATGTTATTATTATTATAATTATTATTATTATTGGTAGTAGTAGTAGTAGTAGTAGTAGTAGTAGTAGTAGTAGTAGTAGTAGTAGTAGTAGTAGTAGTAGTAGTAGTAGTAGTAGTAGTATTTCTATTGTTTTTTCTGTTACTTATATTATCGTCGTCAATCTGTATATGATCATCATTATTTTCCACACATCAAAAAAAAAAAAAAAAAAAAAAATGTTATACATGTACGTGTCCATACCCTTACCACATACATACACTCATCGCAACATTAACCGAGACAGAAAGATTAATTTACTAATTTCCTCCATTTTCTCTCCTCCTCCCGCAGACGATGAAGAAGAAGTACTTCGTCCTTCGGCGGGAGACCGGGCCCGACACCCCCGCCCGACTCGAGTATTACGATTCGGAGAAGAAGTTCAAGTCGGGCGCCCAGCCGAAGAAGTGAGTGAGGGGGGGGCGGGGGATTTGGGAGAAGGGTGTGTGTGTGGGGGGTGGGGTGGGTGGATGGGTGGGGGTGTCTGGTTGTTTGTGTGATTGTGTTTGTGTGTGTGTGATTGTGATTGTGATTGTGTGTGATTGTGATTGTGTGTGTGATTGTGATTGTGAGTGATTGTGTGTGTGTGTGATTGTGTGTGTGATTGTGTGTGTGTGATTGTGTGCGTGCGTGCGTGCGTGATTGTGTGCGTGCGTGTGTGTGTGTGTGTGTGTGTGTGTGTGTGTGTGTGTGTGTGTGTGTGTGTGTGTGTGTGTGTGTGTGTGTGTGTGTGTGCGTGCGTGCGTGCGTGCGTGCGTGCGTGCGTGCGTGCGCGCTTTGTGTGTGCGTGCGTTTTTTTTTTTTTTTTAGAATTGTCCTAGACGTTAAGTGAAATTATAATCACATTATGTACAGATTCTTTAACATTGCGATGCGTTTTTGTATTGTAGCTTGGATAACAAGGAACGTAAATTAATGTATATTAGGATAACCCGCCTCTCAGCATAAACACGGAGCGCCTAATTAAATCCCATCCTCTCTCTTTTCTTCCCGCCCCCCCCCTCCCCAATAAAAAAAAAATCCATCCTCTACTTTGCTCCCCCCCCTCAAAAAAAAAAAAATGGAAATAAAATCATTCCTTCCCTGTTTGCGCTCAAAAAAAAAAAAAAAATCTCTGCTCTACTTTTCGCCCGCCAAAATGATAATGATAATAATAACAAAAATGATTATACAAATAAATAAATAAATAATGATAATAATGATAAATGATAATAAATGATAACAATAAATGATAATGATAACAATAAATGATAATGATAACAATAAATGATAATGATAACAATAAATGATAATGATAACAATAAATGATAACGATAACAATAAATAATAAATGACAATAAATAATAAATGACAATAAATAATAAATGACAATAAATAATAAATGACAATAAATAATAAATAACAATAAATAACCATGATGATAACCTCCAACCGCCCCCACCCCGCAGACCCATCATCCTGCGCACGTGCTTCAGCATCAACCGCAAGAAGGACCCGAAGCACAGTCACGTGATCGCGCTCTACACCAACCACGACTCGGTGAGCATGGCCGCCGAGTCCGAGGCCGAGCTCAACGACTGGCTGGGCTTCCTGCACCACCACATGCACCAGGCCGTGGCGGGCAGCGACGGCCAGTCCAGGAAGCTCTATGGTAGGTTGTCTCCGGGGTGTTTTTTTTTTTGGGGGGGGGATAGGGTGGAGGGGGTAGGGTATGGGGGTAGGGGTAGGGGAGGGAGTTTGGGGTAAGGGGAGGGGGAAGGGGATGGGTGGGTAAGGGGTAAGGGGAGGGTGGTGGGTAAGGGGTTGGGGAAGGGTTGGGTAAGGGGTAAGGGGAGGGGTTGGGGAAGGTTGGGTAAGGGGTAAGGGAGGTTGTGGGGAAGGGATGGGTAGGGAGTAGGGGAGGGGTGGTAAGGAAGGGTTGGGTAAGGGGTAAGGGCAATGAGGGGGAAGGGGGAGGGGAGTAAGGGAGGAGGGGAAAAAAAAAAAAAGGGTGTATTGTATTATTTGTAATTTTTGTTCTGCTTATTGTTCTTGCAGATTTTTTTTCTGTATCTCTTCGTAATCTTTTTTATTGTCTTTGTCCTAAAAAAAATCCCCTTATTTTTCTTATTCTTATTATATTCCTTATTTATGCTGATTCCCTTATTAATCTGGTGCTTGTTCTTATAACTCATATTCTCATTAGGTCTTACACTTAGTCCTCTTAATGATTCTTACTTATATTCTTACTTATATTCCAATTCTTACTACAGTGCTGCATTTACAAACTCACATTCACACACATTCTTTCTTTCTTTCTTTCTTTCTTACCATCTCCTTTCTCCTTTATCCTCTCCTCTCTTCTCCTCTCCTCTCTCTCTCTCTCCTCTCTCCTCTCTCCTCTCTCCTCTCTCCTCTCTCCTCTCTCCTCCTCTCTCCTCTCTCCTCCTCTCCTCTCTCCTCTCTCTCTCTCTCTCCTCTCTCCTCTCTCCTCGCCTCTCTCCCTCTCTCCTCTCCTCTCTCCCTCTCTCTCCCCCCCTTACTCTGGATGATGAGTATTGGATTTCATTGTGTTTTCATTAGTTTTTTTTTGTGTGTGTAATAGTAGTTTTCCACGAAAAGATGATGATTGGATTTAGTTGTGGCTGTGTTTTTTTGTGTTTTTATTTCATACTTTAAAAAGAATAGATAACAGTTTGAATTCCCAGGGTAGGGACTCCAGAAGGAAAACCTGCCTTTTATGTTTGTTTCCAAAAGTTGACACACATTTATACCATGTTTGGTATTCGCTGTTGGTAGTTTTATGTCTTATAATATTTTCCCTTATATGCTTCAAAACAGAGCACGTGTGGATGGTGGAGATCCAGCCCAGAAGCCTTGGCAGCAGTAAAGGGATCACGGGAGAATATCACATCTGTCTGACCTACAAGTCAATTGCTCTCGTGCGGGTCGGAGATAGTCAGAAGAAAATCGAGTTCCCGGTAAGGACTTTAGGCAAAAGATGCAAATCGAAATTTTGAGAAAGAATTATTGTCTTTATTTTCTTTATTTATTCATTTTTGTTTTAGCCTTTTTTGATTATTCAACCTAGCATTGCTGGGAAAATGAGTTCACTTTAGTATTTTGTGAAATGTCTCCACACTTTATAAGCACTCAGTTAGTCAACCTTATGACCTCACCTGATTTCACCTTTCGTTGAGTTTTTGGAATATTTTTTTCCTAATGCTCTCAATATTGTTATAGATATTGTCATTATTGCAATGTTATTGACATTACTAACAGCAATATAAGTAAAAAAGATATTTAGGTAGTACTAGTAATTGGTTCATTGAGGACAAAGTACTTGTGGAGGCACCTGTATGTAACGACAATTCAGAAACTAAACTCTCAGTGGGCATGGCATCCCTGGTGGCATTAGGTTAAGGAAGACTTTCTTTGGGTTTAGTGTTTTTATCTTGAACTTGGAAGGTGTTTTTGGGAGAATACAATATTTCATGTATTAAAATAGGAAATTTGGAAAACATGATAATTATTGTAAAAGATTTTTTTTCTTCTTTGTTTGCTAAATGAGGTGTTCCTTTATATTCCAATTAGTTGATTTAAAACAAATCACCCCTTCACACTGCAGTTAAACAGCATCCGGCGTTGCGGCCACACAGGCTCCTTTTTCTTCTTGGGGCTGGGGAGGTCAGCCGTCACTGGCGCAGGAGACATCTGGATGCTAACGGAAGATGCTGTCATTGCTGAAAACATGCATGGTATTATTCGCAGGTAAGAAAACTGGGTAGGACGTACCCTGGATATAGGAGGGAGTTGTAAAATTTGTAGACCATTAATTAGATATTTAATATGCAACAATAGGGATACACACTTTCTTAATATAATTAGTATATAATATGATTTGGTTTTGTGTATTCAAGTTTAGGTGCCCAAAGAAAAAAACAAGAAATCAACTGTTAAAAGTATCTTTTTCCCATTTTTAGAGCAATGCATGCTCCTTGCAACAACATGAGTGAAGACCCAGTGTCCCGGAACGAACCCAGTCAATGTCAAATCAACGTTCATTTGACAGTAAGGAAGACATATTTTGTATGTATACTGTTTTAGCATCTGGATTCCTGTTTCAATGATATAATATGATATTGGTATATTTGACCCTATTCCATATGATGTGATTTCAATATATCTGGAAAACCTTTGTTTCATTGTTGCAAATTTCCATAACAAATTTTCCAATTTTCCACGTCTTACAGGTAGTGGGCAGTGCTGCCTGACGCGTGGACGATGTGGCAGCATGCCCTCCCGGAGTCGCACAAGTAGTGAAGGATCTATGCAGACTGGGCCTAACAAGCTTCCGCCAAACTGCAGTCATCAGATGGATGGTCCACACCCGGGATCTGTGTGTCTTCATCCCATCACTCGGCCTAAATCAATGTACTCATCATCTCTCTCCTCGTCATGCTCTCCGCCTTGTGCTTCTGCTTTGTTCAGGTATTTGTATGTGGCCTGCAGGTGACCCACCCAAGTAAAATATATTTATTGAATACTTCTCTTTTTTGAGGTATTTTGGCTGGTTGATTTAAATAAACAATTGTTTTATCTTTCTGGTAAGCATAAAGTATTGCCAATAAAAATTGTAAGGAGAAATTCACACATAATTAATATACATTACTATTTAATTTAATTGCTAGGTATCTCATGTTGCAAATTATTTGTATCAGTTTTACTACTGTACTAACCATTTTCTGGTGATAAATGTTAGAGGTCCTCTAATTTTGGTATATAGTGACTTAAATTTCTACGCTAACGTGCTCACATATCCTATATATTTTTATAAAAAGTCATGATGTTCCCCCTAACATAAACAACCTTTGCTAATGATTATTGTGGTGTTGGAAGAAATAACATACCTGGAAGGCTGCCATTGCAGGTTTCTGAGAAGCAATGTTCACTTTTTGAAGGTTGGGTCGCTCTCAGGGCACTTCTGGCTGTGTGTGTGACCTGCTTCTAATGCCTTGTCATCGTGTTTGCTTGACCACCAAGAAGGACAAGTGTTAGCTAGTGATCTGAGTCCTAAATTTTCTGAAAGTTTACCTCTCATGATTGCCATTATTGACATATGAGTAATGCTAAATGGGTTAGGCCTTACCAGATGCTAGCTAACATTTGCCTGTGGTTATTGGTCTTTTGTCTTCACAATCCAATTAACTGCACATTATACTAACTGCTTGTTACTAAAGCTAACATGATTCCGAATAAAAAAATTATTAAAAGATCTTCACATTATCCACTGTCAGCTCAATCCTGCTGACAGGCTTCTACACCCATGCCTCAAAGGTGTTCAAAACAGGTGAATGTGATGTTAACCAGTTTTGAACGCCCATGAGGTGAGGCCTACGTGCAGGATAGAGCTGAAAGTGAATTATATGTTTCCTAATATAGGTTAAAGTTTGATATTCTGTTCAGAGAAGTTTTGCATTATGTTGCTGTAAAAGGTATCACATTCACAACAGTATAATTTTTGGGATTATTATTTGGTATATGTAACTGCATCAAGTTATGTTGGGTATGAAAACACTTGCATACACATTTTAATTTTTTTTATTTTTTTCACTGAAGACTTTTATATTTATATATAAGTATGTTTTTAAAAGAAAGTTTTGAAAAGAAGTTCATAGAAAAGTATAAAAGAATATTTGGTGATTTGAATGTACAAGATATATCACAAGAAAAATAATTCCAGTGCAGATGAGATCTCAAAATGTTGAGTACATATAAATGTAGATTTTGTCCTTTCTCTTTTGTACCTTTTCTACATTTGCCATAGTGAACTCTTTTCAAGGGATTAAGTCTAATAATTACTTGTAACACATTACTAGTTTAGCATAAGCATGTCACTTTTTCTGAAGATAATACTCTTACATAATAGGAGTGTAATATTCAGAAAGTAAGTGTTGATTGCTGGTGATAGTTGCATGTTTTATAGGAATATGTGGATTTTAATGTGAACTGATGTGGAGTCTGGTTGTTGGGCCATTAAGCCGTCCTTGTATATTGGTTAAATAGATTGATTTATCTCTTAAGAAAAGAATGGATTTTCTGTATTGTTTAAAATTCTTTTAAAGATTATCCACTTTATCTACACTGGAGTTTGTCGTTTGGTTTGGTTATAATTTAGTGCTCATATACATTTTTAAAATGATTCTTTGAGATGTTATGATCTTTTGCTCATTCTGCAGAGAATGATTATTAAATGTTGCAGTAAGAAGGGATATAAATTTAGATCTTTTTGTGATATACTGTATATAGATGTATTTCTCTGCTCCTCCAGTGGTATGGATATTTCAAGTAGTGCTGTATATTTAGATTTGGTTGACAAACTCCATTGTAGAGAAAGAGTAAAGTCAGTGCTTAAGATTTTAATAAAATGGTTACATTTTTTAACATAGGTTGGTGTTTTAACAAAGTTCTTAAATTCTATAATATAGCATTAAGATTTTGCTTAAGTAATTGCATAGATTAAGGATTGGGTTTAATTACTGCTTCTTTAATTAAATTTTTTTTTTTTTCCATTTTGCTATTTAATGGTACATTATTTATCCAAGGAAGGTATGCTACTGAATACAAACTGCAGCTACTGTAAGCATCCATTACTATTATCACATTGATAAAGATGCTGATTTCTCCAAAAACAATTTTCAGTCCCAGCTCAAGTGAGTCCATGGAGTCAACTGCATCCGTAGAGGACTTTGATGGCCTGCATTCTCATACTCCAGAAACTGCTGTAGATAACTCCAGTATGTGTGAAGGTTTTATGTTGTTGATTAGGTGTATTTAGGTTTTATATTGTGATGTGTTTCAACTTGTCCATGTAATTTTGTTCTGTTAGGTGCTCAAGAAGCTAGGAAATTGCTATATGAAGAAATTTGTCTTGGTTATATTTATATGTTCTTTTCAGGTGAAAGTTTTTTTTATCTTAGATGTGAAAAAAATTGAATGAGAATGTTTGGTTTTATCTCATTATCAGCATATTTGAAAAAGAAAATCTAATCAATTAATATAAGGACAGTGGAAGAAAGTATTTTGAGAGGTAGATACCTTTCAGGAACTTAGTGAATCTTGACTTATTCCATGTTAATTATTTTTGGGTTTCATGTCTATGTTGACTGTAGTGTTAAAAAAAAATCAGCAAGTTTTGATTAGGGTGATCTTCATTGAATTTTAGATGGTGAGGAGGATTATATGTCAATGGAGGCTGGCTTGGAGAGCAATATGAGCCAGCATCGGGACCATCCACAGCCACCCTTCTCCCTCCCTATTGGCAGCACGCGGAGTTATGTTCATTCCCTAAGCAAAGGTCTGGTATTCAGTTTTGTCTTGCTCAAAATATCACTTCTACTCGAGGGATAGTATGCTTATCAGATTTTTTTTCATACCATTGATCACTGTAAAAGATAGTGACTTTTTTTTTCTTTTCTTTTCTCTCCTGTTAGGTCTCATCTCTCCTGTAAGTGGTAGCAGCACGGAAGGTCCATGCCTCTCGTCTCCTCAAGATCA